CGCGTCACCCTTGTTCTCGTCGCACTGCCTCTCGGCCGCCGCTCCCCGTTGCATCTCATCCACCCTCTATGGAGGGGAGGAAGGCCGTATTCGTGTATTTGCCGCAACATATAGCCCCCGCCTTGAAAGCGTTCAGGGTTTCAAAGCAACGGCAAGGTCAAAAGTTTTTATATTAATTTAAAGTTTGATTAGGCAGAACACACACTTTCACTACGGGTAAGTGCCTAATTCTGCCTAATTTCCATTTGAGTGGTGGAAGCCCGTCTTCTTTTACCAATACCAAAGTATCAGGTCTGATTAATTGTTGTGCATTTTCTTTCCATTTAACACGCTGTTGTAAATGTGAAACATACTCTTTACTCCACCTTGACCAAAAGTGTTGCAATAGCTGCTGCAATCTTTGAAAGCTGGATAGTCGATTTTCCTTAACATTGGAAAATGAATGATCTGGTATGGTGGTTAAAGGTTCTCCGATCAACAGGTGTGTGGGGGTGAGCGGATTCATGTCATTAGGATCTTGAGAGAGGGGATAGTGTGGTCTAGAATTAAGACAAGCTTCTATTTGATATATAACTATACAGAACTGTTCGTAAGTCACCTATTACACGTTTTAGATGGTACTTGACTGACTTGTCACCTGCCTTCCAAAGCCCGCCGAAGTGTGGCGCGCGTGGAGGAATAAATTTCCATTGTATGCCGTCATTTGATAGATCCCGGACAATGTTGTCCTTATATTGTTCAAAGAATCGACGTATTTCATTACTTGCACCCACAAATGTGGTGCCGTTGTCCTAATATATTTCAGAGCATTTACCGCGCCTGGCCATAAAACGTCGCAACGCTGCTAAAAAACATTCAGTTGTAAGGTCACTGACAACTTCCAAATGAATCGCCTTACTGGCAAAGCAAATGAACAATGAAAGATATACCTTTGTGGTTTTGTAATGTCGACCCTTCCAAACACGAAGTAAGAAGGGGCCGGCGTAATCAACTCCTGATATAGTGAATGGTTGGAAAGGAGCAACTCGTTTAGCGGGAAGATTTCCCATTAGATATTGCTCTGACTTTGGGCTAAAGCGATAGCAACGTGCACAATCAT